TCCTGGCATAGCACCCCATGCCCCGCATGCCCTCAAACCCGGCCTGGCCTCCTCCCCGCTCCTGGCCTAACAACGCCCCCATTCCCGCATCCCCTTGAACCTGGCCCACCTCCTGCTCCCACTCCTGCCTAGCAAGCTCCCACCACCCACCCCTCCGCACCCCCTTGAACTTGGCCGGCCTGCTCCCCGCCTCCTGGCCTAGCACCCATTCCCCCTCCCTCCGCATCCACTTTGAACTGGGCCTGGTCTGCTGGGCTGTGTGTGCACCAGTCTGGCCTCTCAAGCCACTCGGGTGCTACCAGGTCTGCAGAGGCCACCACCCGATGCACACGGCCTGGACCCGCCCCCTCACCTCCAGGACATCAGCTGCAGGGATGTCCAGGGCCTCGGTGCCCCCGTGGTATAGGTATTGCATCACCAGCTGTGGGGAGGCCGTGTGAGCACCACACATGAGCATGCCCGCCCGGCCCCACATGTCCACCGGCTGCCCCGTCCTGCCCCGTGCCAGCCTGGGCCAAGCTCCTTTCCTCTACACGCCCTGCCCTGGCTGTGATGCCACAGCCGTGTCCCAGACCTCCCACATGCCATGGCCGAGACCCCTCTGCTGGACCCTGCCTGGTGGTGTGCTCCCCTGTCTTTACCAAGCCTGGGCGGTAAGACAAGTCACAGCTGCGGAACCTGAGGTTCGGGACAGGAAGATGACTCGGGCCCACGCGAGGTCCCCTGTCGCCACCCTGTGCACGTCTGAATTCTACATGTAGAGCTGGGGGGCTTGTGGATGCCTGTCCAGCCCACAGAAGCAGCCACCTCGCTTCCTGGGGCAGTCCCCTTCCAGGTGCTGGCTGTTCCCAAGACCGCCCAGACCAGACAAGGGTGCTGCTCACGTGTGTGGGCCCTTGTGTCCGCCTGGCTCCCGCCCAGCCCTGCAACCCCTGCCTGCCACCTCCTCCAGGGAGCACCCCTCTTCCCCCATACAGGTGTGGACACACCGTTCCTGCACCCCAGGCCCATCTGTGTGCTGTGGTGAGTCCGTCCTCCAGGGGATCCCTGGCCTTTAGGGGGACTCTGGGCTGTGAGCTCCCCCTTCCCACTGCCACCTCCCACCGAGGTCCCCACCTCAGAGCCACCCTGCAGCTCCAAGTCATTGCAGCCCAGAGACCTGCAGCCACTGCAGGAGTGCCCAGGGGCTCAGCCAGGACCCAGCCAGCACCCCAAGCCCTCACGCCGCAGCCCCGACTGGGGCTTTCTCAAGCGGCCCTGCTTGGGGGCGGCTGGGTGTGCTTGGGCCACGCTGGGCTTCCCAGAGGCAGCAGGTCATGACCCACCGGGGAACCCTGGAGATGCGGACGTGAGGCTGGGTGTGGGCCTGGGCTCTGCACATCCCACGTGCTCTCAGGAATGTGTGTTCGTGGTGCACTGGGACACCCGGGCTCACACACTGCATGCGGTGTCTGTGTGTGTCTGTCATCCAGTGGTCAGAGCCCAGGACGCGCGGTCAGGCTCTGAGGCGGTAGCCCCGCCACGGAGGAGAAGACCTGGACATGCCGGCGGGATGGCGCCGACGCCCGCCCACACACCTGGAAGATGTGGTACTTCACGTCGCTGACCTCGATGGTCTTGCTGCCGCCTCCGTCCTGCTCAGCCTTGTTGGTCATCAGCGTCTTGAACCTGCAGAGACAAGCAGGTGGGCTGTGGGCTGTGACCACTACTTGGGGCTGTGGACTGTGACTCTGGTTCGTGGCCGACTTTGGGTTGTAACTGTGGGCTGTGATTGTGACTTTCAGGCCATGACCTTGACTTTCGGACTGTGACCGTGTCTTTGGGCCAGGACCCTGACTTTTGGACTTTGACCGTGACTTTGGGCTATGGCCATGATTTGGGGCCCTCACCTTGACTTTTGGACTGTGACTGTGACTTTAGGCCCTGACCCTGACTTCAGAGTGTGACCGCGACTTTGCGCCCTGGCCCTGACTTTGGGCTGTGGCCGTGACTTTGGGCCAGGACCCTGACTTTCAGACTGTGACCATGACATTCAGGCTGGGACCGTGACTTTGGGCTGTGTCGGTGATGCCCACTCCATCACTGAGTGGCATCCCTGACTGGTCCCCGGGAGCCAGAGCGTTCTAAAAATTACTGCCGTGCCTCCAAAATCAGTCTTGGCAATTGACTTTGTACATCCTGGGCTGGGACCCAGCCGTTCCTGCTGACCCCACAGTGACCTGATGCCAGCGGCCGTACACACTCTTCGTCCTGGAACATTTTCCTCCTCCATTAACAGGAGGCTGGAGCTTGGCCAGAGAGACCAGCCTGAGGCCCCTCCCTGCCGTCCAGAACCCGCGTCAGGCCCATGGACACCTGGGGCTGTCGCAAGGGACTGCAGACAGAGGGTGGAGGCTGCCGGGTCCAGGCCCCGCCAGCCGGCTCCGTCCTCTCGAATCTGAAACCACAGCCCCCTGCCCTTGGGGAGGGGCCTCTATCATGTGGGGCCGCTGACCTGTTGGACGCCGTCACCAGCAGGACTTTATGCGCGTAGAACAGCTTCCCTTCCACCAGGAAGGTCACGTCTGACATCTCCTTGTTGTTCAGAAAGTGGGGGTCTGCGGAGAAGAGGGGAGGGTGGTGGCCGGGAGTCATCTTGGGGAGGGGGCAGACTGAGGCCAGGGCCCGGGTGCTCGGGAGCGGGGACGAGACAAGCGAGGAGGGAGACGGGCGCGGGGTGCGGGCCCTACCCAGCCGGGCCGGCAGCGTCTTCCGGAGCTCGGGGATGCTGGGCACAGGGCTGCTGCCGTAGCAGTGCGTGAAGATGGAAGCCAGCTGCTGCGTGACCGAGTCGTTCTGCGAGGGAGGACGCGTCAATCAGAGGCCAAGCCGACCGCTCTGGCCTGCGCGGCCCCTGGGGCGTGCCCGCCGCCCCGCCTGCTGCCACCCACCCACCTTGCTGGCCTTGAGGATGTCGAACAGCAGCGGCAGGCCCTCATGCACCAGCTCCTCGCCGTACTCCTCCTCTCGGATGGAGCTGAAGTCGCGCAACAAGCTCTGCACCAGCGAGTGCCGCGCCTGCCCGAACGATGTCCTCAGCGACTCGGTCCAGACGTGCAGCTTCCAGGGGACGCCTGCGGGGACGTGGGGTCACGCCCGGCCTGCCCTGTGCCCCCGGGCCCACGAGCAGATGCCCGCCGCCCTCGGGGAGCCGCCCTCTCCGGGCCACCGGGGTGAGGTGGGATGCCAGGGCTGCGCGTAGACCCAAGCCTGGGATGCGCCGGGTCTGGCGTGGCCCTGCCCCCACAGCCAGCCTGCCGGGCCAAGGACGACGGGCGTGTGTTGCGTATGGCATGCCTGGGGTCTCACCCAGTGCCCGCAGCTCCATGGTGATGTCGAGGTAGCCATGCTCCGCACTGTAGAACATGGCCTCCTGCAGGGCCCGCATGCGCGGCCGGTTGAGCTTCGCAGACCCCTCGCCACCGCCCTGGCTGGCCGCGTCACCCTCCTCCACGCCCTCCGCCAAGATCTCCTCCAGGGACAGCACGTCTGCCCGCACCTGCTGCGGTTGCGCCAGGAGCTTCCTCAGCACGTTCCTGCGGCCAGGGGGAGGAGGTTGGGCCAGGCCCCAGCCGGCTGGCCCAGGGCCCCGACGCCCCAGGAGTGAGCGGGGCCTGCCCTCCCGTTGCTGCTTGTGCGGGGTTGGGGGACCGCAGGCAGGCAGCTCCACCTCTGGGCCCCGAGCACTTGTCGTCCGTGGGCCGGCATCAGCGTCGCCGCCTCCCAGGCTGGCGCAGGGCTGCCGTGACCTTGGGGGCAGAGCCTGAAGCGAGGCCCTGGCCGGGAGCAGCTGACTGGAAGTGTGGGAACGCAGGTCCAGTGAGCCCGCCCCTCCCGGCATGGCTGAGGTGAGGACACTAGGCAGCATGCGTCCTACTGAGGAACGAACGTGCGGAAAACACGCTCCCTGGCGCGCGTTCCAGGCTGCGTCCAGCTCCGTCCTGCGGAGGCCTCCCTAGAGAGTTCCACGTCCCTGGCTTGCACTGTTGCCCGTGTCCTGAGCTGTGGGTTGGCGGCTGCCAGGGGCCCAAGGTCGCCCTGGGGTGCCCCCTGCCACAGCCAGAGGACCCTGGTCCCCCGAGTCAGCCGGCTTCCTCGCTACAGCCTCGCCACTTGGAGGCCTCGCGGCCCCTGGCTCCCGCCCCTGGTCTGCCTGCCACCTCTTCTGCCTCCCTCTGCCCGGTGCTGGCCCCAGCCTGCGGCTGCCACGCCCACACAAATCCCCTCAAAGCTCTGCCACCGTCTGTTCCCAGAGGCTCCGCGGGTAGCCTGTGGGTGCTGAGGCCACAGTGCTGGCAGCCCTGCCAGCTTGGGACGCACTGTGAGCCTCCCTAGATGGGGTGGTCCACCCTGGACAACCCCACGGCCCACACCACCCCCGTCTTCAACCACTGGGCCCATGTCTTTCTGGCTTCTGCATGCATGCTGCCTCCAGGAGGACCTCCAGACTTGCTCTTCTGTCCCCAACGGGAAACCTAAGGCTCCCGTGAGCCTGCTTCCGCCCACGGCAGGGTCTTGGCTGTACCTGTGTCCGTGGGCGGCCGCGTGGCTGAAGCAGTTCATGTTCTCGTGCAGGGGTGAGCCCATGCCGCCAGCGTCCAGCGAGCTGAGGAGGGGGTCAGCGCCGCGGCTCAGGAGCAAACTGACCAGCTCGTAGTTCCCTGGGGGGGAGGCAGCGGGGAGGGAGGAGGGAGGGCGAGGGAGGCCGGTGGAGAGGAGGAGGGGTCTTGGAGCATGCCAGTGACTCCCAGCCTGCCTCCGTGTCCTTCCCGCCCCTCTGCTGCCCAGCCGGGCCGGGAGAAACATGGCCGCTGGGGAGGGAAGCCCCGTGGCCCAGAGGGGGGCTTCCTGGCCCCTGTGGGGACTGTGTGTGCCATGCGGACCCCTGTGCGTCTGCCATCTGCGCCAGGCCGGCGATGTTGCAGGGGTGGGCACAGTGCACCTACCAGCCGCGGAGGCCAGCTGCAGGGGTGTCTCTGCGTGACTGTCCTCGCTGCTGCTTCCCACCGAGCCCTCCACGTGGGCGCCCGCGTCCAGCAGCAGCTGTGGGGGCACGGGAGAGGGGACAGCGTGGGGTCCAGGGTGTGGGGAGGGCATGGCTCGCGTGGCGCCCAGGCCGGGAGGCTCCTTTGCCCTCCAGGCTGGTGGCCAAGACGGGCGGGCCACAGCTGAGGGGCCAGAACTCTTAGCTCAGGACTACCCTGAGGCTCTGTTTCCAGAACCTTCAGCTCTGCCGGTGGGCCCGGAGCCCTAGCCGTGAGGGCCCTGAGCGGCTTCTCTCCCAACGCCCGCCCCAGAGCTCAAGCAGTCGAGCAGGATAGAAAACGCAGCCGCAGTCTGGGGAAACTGAGACCCTGGGCGGCAGCAGGGCTGAGTCAGGAAGAGTGGCGTGTGGAGCGGCACCGACCGGTGCGTGCCCTGGCCAGAGCCCTCCACCCTCTCAGCCTCAGCCATCCCACCTGCAGGATGGGAGGAGGGGCCCACCTCGGGGTCTCACTGGGATTAAACGCCCAGGGTCCCGTGGCTGGAAGGCTGCTTGTGGCAAGCCCAGTGGGGGCCCCAGGCTGGCCAGGGTGGAGCCCCACGGGGCAGGGCCGGACACCAAGCAGTTCCGGCTTTCGAGCAGGGCGACCTTTCGTGATGTGGCGACGGCTGCCCGGTGTCATGGAGGGCACGGCCTCCCAGACCCCCCGCCTCCCCAGACTCCCGGGCCCAGACCTTCCAGAACTCAAGGTCCAGGGAGCCGGCCCACACCTGGGGACTGAAACACAGAGTCCATACGGGCTCTCTGCCCCAGCGGGCAGCCTGCGGGTGCCAGGGATGCCCGCTGGGGATGGGTCAGTCAGAAACCAGCTGGGCCCCCTGAGGCCACAGAGACAAAGGCGAAACTGGGCGTGCGTCCAGGCAGATCCCGGGCATAGCCCGGCAGGCCCCACATGAGCCGAAGGAGGGGCCTTGTGGGTCCCCACAGGGAACGTAGGCGGGATGTGGCGGCCAGGGCAGCAACGGCCACACTGAGTCCTTCCTTCAGGCTGGGCCGCAGAGACACCGACCCGAGCCCTCCCTGACCACCTGGAAAGCATGCGTGTGGCTGGTGCCTCTGCTGGCTTGGGGGCATGCTGACTGCAGTGTCCACTTCTAGTGTCCTCACCCACGCCCGCAGCTACCTGGGCCATGGGGGGTGACACTGGCCTGGCTGAGAGGTGAGCTGTGCCCCTCTGGACACAGAGAGACTCGGCCCATTCGTGGGGAGGAGACAGAACTGGACGGGTACCCTGGATGGGCGCCATGGCCCAGAGCTGGCGCTGCAGGGGCCCTGTGGACCAGCAGGCCGATGCGAGGTCCTGCCGGCCCGGCCCAGGCTCCGGTGTCCCGCGGAGCTCACCTGGACCACAGAGATGTGTCCGTGCAGCACGGCGAAGGTCAGGCAGGTCCAGTGCCGGCTGTCGGGGTGGGTGGACGGGTGGCGGGGAGAGCTGGCCGGGACCTGCAACCCACAGCCGTCGGTGTTTCCTGGGAGCACCGTGGCGGGGCACCGCAGGGTTGGGGAGTCCACCAGTGCTGGCTGCACTCAGTGGTGATGTCTGTGGGAGCCGCCAACTCGAAAGGGAAGGGTAGGCGCTTGCTGAACAACATCTGCCCTGGGTGACAGACTGGAAGCGCGGGGTCTTGGGGGAGGCAGAGCTGGGAGCCCTTGGGGCGCAGGACGGTTGGGAGGAGGCGGTGGTGGGAAGGCGCTGCAGGCGTCGCGCCATCCCCGCCCTCATGGAGCCTAGATCCCCGGGAAGCCCCTCTCTGCCGATGTCTCTCTACCTTGGGGAGGGACCTGCCCCGTGCCCGGACCCTGCCCTGGCACGGTGAGTGGAGGCTGGGACGGCCTCTGGCTGGGGTGGCTGGAGCAGCATGTGTGCTCACCTGGACATCCAGGCTGGCGCCGGCATCAATCAGCATTTGCACCATGGCCTCGTCGCCAGCCGCACAGGCGTACATCAGCGGCGTCATCCCCTGCACGCATGGAGGCACGGGGGTCAGCGTCGCGACAGTGTAGCACGGAACCTCATACCCACCTGCTGGCCCGCTGCGCGTCCCCAGACCCGGACCCAGAAGGGTAGGTGCTTGCACAAGCCCGCGACGCCAGCGGAAAGGGCAGACCCTGTGGCTACTGAGGCGCCCCGCCTCCGGGTCCTGCCCGCCGTGGGCTCTGTGCTCTGAGAGCTTGGTGCAGTGGCCGTCCCTCTCCGTGCCTCCATTCCTCCAACCCTCCATCTTTACACGGGGAGCAGGAGTGTCCAGCCACGGGCACTGCTGGAGGGTGCGACCCCAGCCTGGGCAGGGCAGGACAGAGATGCAGCAGAGAGGAGAGGGGATGGCACCCAGGGGAAAGGACAGCACCCCAGGGAAGAGGTTGTCACCCTGGGGCAGGGGACAGCACCCCAGGGAAGGGACGTCATCCGGGGAGGACAACACAGGAGTGAACGCCCGGCCCCGCACCCCCAGCCCTGGGCACCAGGGCCGCCCTGGGCTGAACTGGCGCACTGCACCCCGTGAGTGCATCCGCGCCCACGCCGGCCACGTGACCCTCGGTCGAGAGCTGGTGACGACGGCCACAGCATCGCATGGGATCCCGGTGGGGCCCATACGCCGTCTCACAAGTCAACGTGATGCTCCCAGGAGGGAGGGCCGCCACAGTCCTGGGCTGCGAGGTGGGGACTTCGTGCCTGCCTCGGAGTGGCTGGGGGAGGCGGCAGGGGCAGGGCTGTCGGGCAGCAACCCCGGGTGTCACGCGAGTGATCACCCCATGGCCCGCTGTGCTGGCTGGCACCCGTGGGGGTGGGTCGGGTTGTTGGTGTGTAGACAGCACCTCACGCCCAGAGCCTGGCCTCACGGGGTGCAGTGGCGCCAGTTCAGCCCAGGGCGGCCCCGGTACCCAGGGCTGAGGGCGCGGGGCTGGGCGTTCACTCCTGTGGTGTCCTCCCCGGGTGACGTGTCTTCCCTGGGGTGCTGTCCCCTGCCCCAGGGTGACATCCTCTTCCCTGGGGTGCTGTCCTCTCCCCTGGGTGCCGTCCCCTCTCCTCTCTGCTGCATCTCTGTCCTGCCCTGCCCAGGCCGGGGTCGCACCCTCCAGCAGGAAGCCTTTCTGGGATTCCCCATTTCCCCAGCCTCACGCTCTGCCTGAAGCCCCCTCAGCCGCACCATGCAGTCACCACATCTGAGAGTGTCGCCCACCCTAGGTCACCCACCTCCCTGCCACCCAGGGCCATCTCTCCACAGCAGGGCTCTCGACACAGAGTCAGATGGACGGGACGCCCTGCAGTGGTCAGGAGCCCGAGCAGGGTTGCCTGGCTTCTATCCTGACTCTGCTCCACACTGGTCATGTGATCTTAGGGAAAGCAACCTCTCCTGCCTCAGTTTCCCCAGCTATAAAATGTGCGGCAGACCCTCAGGCATCACAGGGCTGCTGTTGGGGATCAACGGGCATGTCTGCAGGGAGTGTGTGGACCGTGCCTGGCAGTCAAGACCACTGTGAATAGCCACACGGTCCTGCTTTCCCCTGGCCTCAGCCTCTCAGGGACGCACCCTAGTGCTCTGTGCTGTGTGCACTCTGCCTTCCTGGTGTCAGACTGCACAAAGGCTGGGTCTCCATGGCCTGGCCCAGAGCAGGTCCCAGGACGCCTGGCTCGACGCCATGCTGACCCTACACCCTCCAGCCTTGGCCCATCTGGGACGGTTGCCAGCGTCCAGTCAGGGACACAGAGTCCACCCCACAGGGTCCCCCCTGCAGGGTGCCCAGGCCAGGGAGGACCCTCCAGACTGGAACTGCCGGGCAGGCTCGGGAGACCCCATTCAGAGGCAAGTCTGGCTGTCACGGGCGGGCTGGAGACTCTGGGACGTACCTGGTCATCCATGGTATTGATCCCGTCGGGGCCCAGGGCCTCGATGGCCTGACTGACGAGATCTGTCCGCCCGCAGCTGAGCATGTGGAAGCCCAGGTCCTGGTTGAGCTTCTCGGTGGCTGCGCGGGCGTCCAGCCTCCGGAAGGAGCTGGAACAGCACTCAGGTCTGCCGGGAGAGAGCGGGTGAGTAGGTGCGCATGGATAGCCGCCGAGGCCGGCACGGGGAGCAAGTGCGGGTGGGGGAGGGCCTGTCCCCAGCATGCTCTGTGGCACAAGCACACTCCTGCTCTCTGTGACGTGTTCAAGAGTGCTCTGAGCTCCTGGGAGCCGGTGACTGCAGGAAGCAATCACTGAGAGTTGCCCAGAGGAGGCAGCTGCGCAGCCTGGCTCGGCCCACAGCACTTGGCTGTGGGCTTTTGCACGGAGCTGGCCACCCCTGGCCTCTGGATGGCCACCATGGCCAGTTCCCGTTTCTGGCTCTTGTCCTGTCTCCTCAAGGCTCCTGGGGAGGCCCAGAAGCACCCACGGTCTGCAGACTGGCCTCAACTCCCGTCTGCAGCCCACTTGCAAGGAAAGTCATGGACAAAAGGCATGTCTACAGGGGCCACAGACATCCAGGCAGCGTCTGGAGCCTTGGCTGGACAGAGGTGCAGAAAGCACATGTCCCAGAAAGAGGCTCGGGCCCTCTCCGTGAAGACAGAGGAGGCCACAACCAGGCTGCGACAGAGGATGGAGAACAAGACAGGAGGCTCTCGCGGGCCAGCATGGCCACAGGATGTGTCCTCAGGAAGAAAGAGACACGAGGCTCTCACGGGTCAGGTGGACTGGGACGTGTCCCCAGGGACGGAAGGGACACGAGGCTCTTGAAAGACAGGGTGGCCACGGGGTGCCTCCCCAGGGAGCCCTTCAGGAACGCCTCCTTTGGGGGCTCTCTGGCTGGAAGTGGGGAGCACAGGCTGGGAGACTGTGTGGACCCAGTTTAAATCGGGCCCCTGCCCCTGCTGGCCGAGCACCCGTGGCCATCTGCGCTGCCCACCCCTGGCCGCCCCACTGTGGACGGGCCGTCTGCTTCTTCTCTGTGCCTCGGGGCCCCGGACGCTGCAGGTGGAGACCAGGGCTCGCGCCGCGCCCAGGAGCCCG